GCAGAGCCTCACCAAGAACATCTTCCCCACACACCAGGATGTATGCTATGGCTATAAAGCAGCTTTACTACATTTTCTCCCTCTTAAGATGACATGATTTTTTTTCTTTTTACCACTGGTGCACCACAACCACAGGTTTTCAACGAACGGTCTACAGCAAAACCTCAATTTTTACCCCTTGCTTGTCCCCAGTTGATGTCACCCTCATTCACATGCATGAATTCCCAGTATTCCTTCTTAGGGCCCATCCGCTGTGGCATCACCCCACCCCTGCGGGGCAGCAGGTGCTTCTGGCTCTTTATCAATTCAAGATCACCTCTTTCCCCAATAACTGGTAACAGCTGTTTCCATCGCAAAATGTGAAGTTTCACCAAGCTGTTGATATTTAGTGCGTTTCAACCAGCTTTTCAAGGCACATGGGTCTTTAAAGTCACCACGAAAAGCAGAGGCCAAGACTTTGAAGGATTTCTTTTCCGCTTCCCTTGCTAAAGGCACCACCTGGAAGCCTCTAACATTAGAGGGCGGACCCAGTCCCCACGCATCTTGGGCGCTCTTCCCCGAGCGGCACGTTTTATTCTGTGAAAGGGTCCAGCAAGCGTCGTTCCTAGAAGCTGAACGTTACAGCTCACGTTACCAACAGCTTCCTGACCTACAGACTCCACAGGAGGGAAAAACATGCAAATTATCTACACATTTGAGAGCAGTTTGCTCCTTGTCATTAGAGACACTGGAAAGCCCTGACAACGAGGGGCCTTTTTGCAGGATTTAGCTGGGCAGGTTTCAGATTTCTTCATCTGCGTTGGGATTTCCCCCTATTGTCCCTACAAACACGGATCAAGAGTATATACAGTCACACAATCTGTGTAGCTCTGTTACAGACTTATTTTTACTACTTCTGGGGGTTATCCTGTCACTGTGATTTATCAGGGGTATTAGACTCGCTCAGAAACACTCCAGCGAAACGTTTCCCCATTTAAACATTTGCTGATATCTCAAAAGCGACATGTTTTCTAGCACGTGCAGAGGAGCTTCGATTTGGGCAAAAGGGATACAGCATAATGCATTCCAGCAACTCCAGCGTACCCCTATTAGACCCGACCAGGTGAAACATTTATTTCACTTTTGATTTTAAATTATGACACAGACAGAAAGACAGACGGAAAAGCAGGGGGTTTTTTTTGACTAACCCTAAACAATTTTCCTCCCAGGACAAGCTTTCCCCTCTAGAGTTTAGCTGCAGGGGGGAGTCTGAAACTTCTGTTTTCTTTCTTAAGGTTTTTGAGGCTTATTTTGTTCAAAATTGGGAAAACTGGCACAGAAAGAATCCAGCCTGGGCCCAGATCCGCGAGATACCAGATGATCCAGCTCGTTTCCCTACTGCATTTGCACTCCTCGTTATTTCTTGCCTTTCACTTGAGCCCAGGAGGCAAAACCCACTCTCTTATAAAAGCGAAGCCGAGACAGGGTAGATAAATTACACAAAAATCGTATAGCCAGTGCTAGACTGAGCCTTAGCCTAAGGTTTCCTCTGCACCACGCCAGGCCCCAAGCCCATATCTCCCCCACAGGGAGCCTGGCAGCCCTGGGAGCACGCAGACATCCCATGCTGTGGGTGCACACTCCCTCCCCAGGGCCAACTGGGAAATTTGCTCTTGATTGCGATCAAGCCCAGCTTGCAGCCAGGCTCCTGGGGTGCTCTCAGCCCCAGGGCAAGGAGCTCTCTGGGCCTTTCATGAGCCCCTTCCTAATGCAGCTTGCATTTAACCCGGTATCACAGCTTCATGCTGGAAGGAGCACAGAGGAGGCTGTTTTGAACCCGAGCGCGGCACTGAAAGTGGTGCAATGCACACAGAGGAACAGAAAGTTTAGAGAAAAGCATAACCAAGAAAAGCCTCAGAAAATATTTCCTGGATTGTTTCCTAACTGTGTGTGGGGGGGGGGGAAGCATTTGGAAGAAAGCAATGGCAAACCCGTCAAAACTAATGAAAACCATCTATTGCAAGAAAAATTGTAACGCAATCTGAGCAATCCAGGATGCTGATCCTTTGTTTTAGCAGAACGGCTCTCTGCCGTGTTTTGAAAATGGCTTGCTAAGAGCAATAATGGCATCAGAGACAACCGGCCCCGACTGGTCCTATCCATGGTGCAGATCCCTGGGGTGTCAAGAAAAAAAAAAAATAGCAGGGCAACCCCCGGCTTCAGCAGGACCAGCAACGGGGGCCTGGTGGAGGCTGAGATTTATGGAAGCACCTTCTGCATGTGGACATGCGCTGGGAGTCCCTGGAGAAAGCGCCAGTAGATGGTGCTCAAGGAGGACTATCGAAGCATGCGGTGCTTCCACGGTGCTATCCCTTTGCGGAAGACTGGTTCATCTCAGCTAGGGAAGACTCAAAAGTTGGTGGAAAGAAAATTCCTCAAAACCCTCTTCTTGACTCATGGCGTTGATCACATTTAGTTATTAATACATCAGGGAGGAAACCTTACTAAAGTTAGGCACTGCCCTCACTCAAAACAACCAGCCTGCTGTGATTCACCCCTTTCACCACTCGTCAAAGGGGTTTTTGTCCAGGAGAGCAGCCCCTGCCCGGCCACCGCTTCGCTCGTCAGCGCCCACCCCAGAAAACACCCTCTGCATCCTGGCCAGCTGCAGCCCGACCATGCTGCTCCAGCTACAAAGCCTCTTTTTTATTTGGCAAGAGAAATCATTTAGCTTGATTATCACCCCCATAAAGCCAATCCTAGGGGAATTTAAAGACCTCTCTTGTTCTCAGCTAGTTATGGGAGCGCTTGGTAAAAGGCACTTTAACAGGAAAGCCATGTTAGGACAGGGTCTGCATCACAAGAAGAATAAATACCAACTTGCAAGTTAATTATGTTTTCAGTAGAGCTGCAAGCAGCATCTAATCAGGCCATGTGCATTTTGCCAATATTGTTACATTATTTAGTCTATGATCCTCTATCTCGGCTGTTTTTCACTGCCGTTCTGGGGTGGCCGGAGCATTCCCGTTTCATTCCTTTGTTATCGCCAATCATTACAATATGTATACACACACATATATATGTATATGTGCTCGTTTGCCCTAGCACAGATGCAGGAAAGCCCTGACGCTGAGAGCCTTGAGGCACAGCCGCGACGTTGGTGGCAACACAGGAACCACCACGTGGAGCACCCATCGCTGCCCGACGGTCACAGATGCTTACTGCTGTTTTGCGCAGCGCCACTGCAACAGCACGACATTGCCGTTGGGCTCTTACCGCCGCCGGCTGCGCTTGAAAGGAAAAACCCTTTAGTTTGGACACTTCTGCCAACAAACTGCACCTCCATCGCATAGATGTGGTCTTCTCTCAGCTGTCCCTCACTGCATCTACGCTGCTGTTAGCAGCTCCTCATTGCTTCCCAGCAGACCCTGTTGTGCTTCTGCAGAATTTTTGTTCCCTCCGATCCTTTATTTAGCTCCTAGTGAGGGCAGCAATGCTGCTGTGCGTGTTCAAGTTATGCTAGTTGACATGCAGGAGGAAAAAACCTGGAATATTGTCATCAAGTTTTACACTAGCTCACCAATAAACTCCGCCAGCATCACATTCGCAATCACATCCTCTCTAGGAGAGCACAAGGCTACCATGCAGCGTAATTTCTTTCCACTCCTGAGGAAGGAGGTGATGCACTGTTGCCTCCAATAGCTTTTCACGGCAGCCAGTTTTACTAACATTGATTAGCTACGGGGCTGAGCGTAGCTCCAGCAGGAGGTGCAAACGGCACAGCAGGGCCTGGGGCCGGGCAGCTGGAAACAAGGAGCAGGACCCACGAGCACAGTCACAGCAAGGGCTGGCTGCACAAAGAGGCATCGCGCTTTTTGTATTTGGGGGGGGGGGGGGGCGGACCCCATTATCTTTTGGGCACCCAACACGGATGCTTGCACCCTTCTGCGACATTAGCATTCACGGTTGCTCTGTAACGTAGCAGGCAGAGCAAGGAAGCCAAGCACCATTGCTAAAACTAGCTATTGCATCAGTTCAAGAGCACAGCACTTCCCTGAAGCATTCCAGCTATTTTTTATTACTATTATTTTTTTTATTAACATGGCTAGTATTTCAAATAGCACAAAAATCAAGAGCAAACATAATAAAACCCTATTTAAGCCCGCCAAAGAGAATTTGACCGTTTGATTCCCGTGAAACCGTCTTGGCTCCAGCCTTATAAGGACGCAAACAAGGGTACGAGATAAGAATTAGCGTTCCCACACCCCAGTTTCTTACAAACAAAACCCAATGCAAGCCGAAACGTTTAAATTCAGCCAGTGCCACGCCGTCATTTCAGAGGCAGAGGGCTAAAACATCCCCCAAAGCTGTCCCATCGGCTTTTGTCTAACAAAAAGTAGATGGGACGATACAGGCACTTTTTTTTTCCCCTACGTATAACCGAACCGGCCCGAGCTCATCATTGGAGTCCAACTTGATGTGGGCACTTTCTTTTTTAAGAAACAAACACACACACATTCCTCAATACGTTGATCGAGACCCTCACTTTACTTTTCCCGGGAGCGTGGTGGTGGGGGCGATAACCCAGCACCCTTTTCCCCCAAAGCTGGGGCAAGGACATGCAAAAGGGCCCGCTGAATGGAAATAGGAAACAGGGTTTAAAAAGCCCCCCCCAAGCCCCCCCCCCTTTTCTCCCCACACTCCATACGGCTCTCCCACCAACACTTCCCTCCTCCTTTTCCTCCCCTCCTCCTACTTTCAACAGCCCGAACCACACT